CTATTTATTTATTTATTTATTTATTAAACTGCACTTTTTGGTGCGCCCAACAAAGCCAAAACTCGTGTTAGTCGAACATAACATAAACGAAGGAACAAAACAAAACACATTAGGCAGTTATTTAAATGAAACCAAGTACCAAGTACCAAACTGCTACTGCCGGCAGACAACATACCCCTAACTAGACGGCTAAAGCTGAGGACAACGAGTCGTCATTATGAAGAAGCCAGAGTTCCATGCCAGTTGATCAAAACGCAAGCAACCATCCGGCTAACGGACAAAAACGCAAGACACCAAGAACGCAACGCACCATCAGTCACCCGTGTATACCTGAAGTGTTGAGAAGACTGCATCAAGTGCATAGGCCCAACTGTAAACTGTTTAAATGCGTAGTAACAACAAGGTGCAAAGTCAGCCTAGGCAACGCAACCGACCGCAGTCGTTCCCGGGCGGGCCAAAGTAGGTGCCTCTTTGATCTAAATACGAACCCAGGGCGTAAGACCTAGGCCCAAGTATTCGAACCGGAATACTTGTTGACTTGCACCGACTTATGGACATAAAATTATATTCAATTTCAGGTAAGCCTAGGTGACTGGATGGAAAAAAGCACAGACAAAAAAGTCTCTTAAAATTGAATCTTTGAGACTAGTGCGAAAATAATAGCCCAGATACGACTCGAAGTTATGCGCTGCAGCCGTGAGATAGGGGAAACGTCGTCTAAGGCAAATAGACATGAAACAAACGGTATTGTTAGTATATGAGAAACACTCAGCATATCCTGATAGGAGAAGACACAAAAAAAAAACGTCGGCTGCCCTCTATGGAAGAAAAAGTGCGAAGTGTGCTGCTGGCCTGAAAAAAGAGGAAAAGAAGAAACCATGGAAAGGTATTGGATGCGGGAGCTGAAGATTCTGTCAGGCAAAATCTTCAACACCTAGAACTTCGAATAAATCTAACTTCTTTAACCTACTTTTGAAAACTCGGCTATTCTCAGAACATAACACCTCCCTGGGAAGACGTCGAAACCATCTGGCTATACGGTAGAGAAGAAAGTTGAACAGCTGATTTGAACTTCTGTTATGAAAACTTACATAGTCCAAACTAAAACCGTTCCCCCTCTCACTGCTTGGTCTAAAGACCCAGTACTTGCTGGGGAGCATTTTCAATTCTCTACGAAAAATTCGGAAACCAAATACAAGATCCGAAAGAATCCTTCTGTACCGTAGTGTTGTTAGACCCAATCGTTCTAATCGCTCGCCATGGCTGGGGAGAACACGCTCGCGTGAGCTCTTATTGACCCGGAGGAAAACCAGTCTTGTGAACGTGTTTTGTACTCTTTCGAGCTTAAGAATGTCCTTTTTAAGAGTCGGGTTCCAAACTTGGGAACAATATTCCAAATAAGGCATAACATAAGCTCGATATAGACGAGTAAGTATATCTGGTACATCACTATGTGTATTCCGAAAGATGGTAAAGAGGGAACTGTAAGCTTTACTGATCACATTCTCGATATGAGTGGAAAACTTCAAGCGGCCATCAATTAAAACACCCAAGTCTTTAACACTATCACATTTCTTCAGCATAACACCATTGACATAGTAATCTCGAGCTACTCCGTCACCAATGTGGAGTACAAAACATTTACTCAAGTTGACCATTAAGTCAAAATTCCTAGCCCACTCATCAAGCTTCTCGATAGATTGTTCAAGAGCTCTAGAGACCTCGTCACGATTGTTTTCGTTGTAGCAACCATATATCTTCACATCATCCGCGTAAACCTGCACTCTAATATTTAGTGAGGTTTTGAGAAGCTGTGGTAGCTCAATTGTATATAAAAGAAACAAAAGTGGAGATAGAGCACCACCCTGGGGCACACCACTCGTGCAATGATGTCTTTGGAGTAACCACAACCTACTCTGACAGTCATATATCGATCACACAAATACGATTCAATCCATTTTATTAGACGACCACCAATTCCTAATCTTTTGAGAGTCAGTAGCAGTTTTTGATGATTGACTTTATCAAATGCCTTCGACAAGTCAACATAAACAACATCGACAGATTCACCGCGATCCAAGGCGAGTTTCCAATCAAACAAGCTATCAACCAGATTGGTGGTGGTACTAGCTCCTGGAAGAAAGCCGTGTTGCTCTGGTGGGATAAGATTGAACTTACTACACCAGGTCAACATTTTCTCTCTTATCAACTTTTCCATCACTTTAACTGGAGTGGGTGTAATACTTATTGGTCGGAATTTCAGATACGGACTGCGCCTTTGAAATTTTGGGGATAGCCGTAATCAGCGCTTCTTTCCAGATCTGAGGAACCTCGCTCAACATAAAAGAAACGTTGAAGATGTGTGCCAGAGGCTTAGATAGCGAAGAAGCGCATTTTTTGAAGACAATAGGGGGTATCCCATCGACGCAGGAGACGTCTGAGAGATTGCAAATGTCAGAAGGGTAAAAGTAAATTATCACAAAGTCGCTGGGCGGGTGAATCGCTAGCAACACCAGCCAATGGTTCATTAGATGAACCTTCTCCAGAGGAACCTTGTTTCGAAAAAACACTCGCGAAAAACTCGCCTAAGGCGATAGCCTTGCTGGCTTCTGAATGACATGCTATTCCATTTTGGTCAACAATTAGGGGTAAGCGGGGACAACATTTCATTTTCTTATTTATGTAAGCGAAAAGATGCTTTGAAGAAGATAGTGATGCCAAACGCCGTTCGCGATGAGCCCAAAACTTTTTGAGATGATAATTAATGTCGCAACATACTTTCTTATATAGACTGTCATTCATTGGATTGGAGGAGTTTAGAAATATTCGCTCTTTTTGCAAAAGCAGATTACGGATCTGTGTGGGAAATCTTAAGAAGGGGGCCTGAGGAGTCTTCATAGGAACATGTAAAGATAGCTTCTCGTATACAATTGAGCAAAATCTGCCATACAAGTCGGATGCCGAAACATAGCCATCAAATTCCCTTAGCCACTTGACTTTATTAAAACTTGTGTTAAGAGAAGTGTAGTCAACATTTAGGAAATCCGGTTTGGGTACCAGCTCAGGACCGCATGAAATGACAGAATCAACAACAAAATGAAGTGTTGTGTGGTCAGATGTACTAATAGGGGGGAGGCTGTGAACGTTCCGCACAATGGGAGATGACGTTAAGATGAGATCCAGAGTGTTACCCATATGCGTAGGATGGTTCACACTAGTTGACTCAAGCCAGAATGCGAGAAAAACCTTAAGGAAATTTCGCCCGAGGAAGCATCTAAGGGGGTGGGGCCATTCCAGTCGACCCTTTCCATATCTTTTTTTCGGCAAAATACCGATAGACTACTGCCCGGCGCTTATGAAGTTGCAAGTGCAAACATAGGATTGTTTGGTGTCTCTCATTGAACAGCAAGGAGCCATTCTTCAACTGCCCTCACCGTCTTTCGAATTGCTCCGGCTGAAGCTCTACATCCATCTCATAAATAGATTAACTGGAATATGCTTCTCAAGACACTAGCGAGATTGCTTTTGACCAGGCTTCCAAGGACGTCGTAATGACCTCGACCTCGACGACCTCGTTAAGCTTGTACCGTAAATCATGTTTCCGTTGGACACTGGTTCGACAACGCTTTAAAGGAATCTTTCGCGAAAATCTTGCATGCCTCTTGACCATGAATGTGTCAATTGGTGCCAACAGTTGTGAAAAGTCACTGGAAACAGCACACAAAGTTTCATGCATGAACATTCGGTTTTCGTAGAGAAACAAACGTCCAAAAACTACACGCTATGGACATCGAAGGTAATTCGGGCGGAGCCAAAGGCGAGGCATGGAAAGAAGTTGGCCTTTGGCCGGCTACGTATCAGGCGACGCAATGAAAGAATCGGGTTAAAGCGCGCGATTTCGGAGAGTAGAGACAAATCGATCGATAGAATAGGATGGAGTAGTGAGATGTGAATGCAATAAGTCAAAAGGCCAGAAAGAGTTTCTAGTGAAGGCACTCCAAGAACCAAGTGGAAGCATCCCCGTCGCCAGCATTTGTGAAAGACGTCCGTGGGCAATTTGAACGCGTAGCAGCCTTTCGATTTTTCGAATTTTTACAAAACAAAAGCAATATTTCAGTTCTTTTCACTATTATCGTGGATAATGAGTCTCAAGCCAGTGATTTATGGCTGAAATAGAATCATGATTTTTCCGCGAAAGATTCCTTTAATTTCGTTGTGAATGTGAAGGGAAGTGACTCTCTTTGACCCTATCTCTGTACATGTGTTGGCCTAGTAGTGCGGTTCGATCAGAAAGTCATGTGCTTTCATCTTTTTAGGCTCCGGAAGAGGCGAAAATTCCCTAAACCTTGGCCTAAGGATTCACTATCTTCCTCGTGCGCTGTTAAGACAGATAAAGTCTTACACCTTACATAGAATCGCATTCAGGAAACGTCATTCGCTCTAGCGCGTTCAGTGAATTATACCAATGTTTTTCGCTCTTTCAAAGTTTACAATGTAATTTCAGTTCAAAAAGAATTGCCTTTCGAATTCAGGTAATGGAAACACGAAACACTCCACTTCGAATAGACGTGCGAGGGTTCAGACCCGATTTAGTTATGAAAGTTGTTGAATGGATGTATAACGGTGAGGTAAGATGAAAGGCTCCGCGGCTTCTGGGCTTCCAATACGACCGAGCATCTAATACGCACCACTTTTCTTCGTAGATCGAGATGCCGACGGATAATATGATCGACAACATGTCCTTGACGAACTACCTCGGTGTGGTTGCACTCCATCACCTCTTTGAGAACACCTTAAGAAATATGGCCAATGAGACTAGCACTCGCATAGATGCCATAAATGTGGCCACTCATCCGAAAACCGGGGTAAGTGACACTAGTGAGCAAGGATTAAGTTTTATCGCAGCAAAGCACTTTAGGTTTCTCCAGAGACACTTTCTTATATACTAGGCGTGATCTACGAACGTCAGTCAACGTTCTCGAACGATGAAATTATGGTATGCGTTTACGCTGTTGAAGTTTACACGCTTCGAAACGCATTTATACATATCTGTTTGTTGGTGTTCCAGTTTCTACAACCATGGGCAACAAAGGCTCTTGTTGCTACGCCGGTGAGAACAGTTACAAAGATCGCCTTGCTCAACACTGTTCTGAATTGGTGAGGGGAAGGTTTCCGACCTAAATATATAGATCACTCGTTTCATAACTCACAAAATCGGTGTGTCTGTGAGCTTGTGTATATACTCGATATCGGTGAGTTGGGGTGGGCGTGTCACCGGAAGTGACGTGCACTTGATAGAAACTATGTGGATAAGCTGCTTCCAACATACATCGCTGATCAGCAAAGCATGCTGGCAACAGCTTATCCACGCAACTTCTATCAAGTGCACGTCACTTCCGGTGACACACCCACCCCAACTTTCGGATATCGACTGTATGTATGCATGCCAGCCAGCTGTTCGTTCGCGAAATGCTTGTGGACATTCTACAGGGTGGGCAACAATTGCGGTAACAATTTAAAGTGTTCATTGACAAGCAATGCGGCCAGGAAGACACACGTGGACACCAGCAATGTATTCATAGGAGGTTACCAAACAGAATACAACATCACTTCTTGGACTGGC